AGAGAGAGAGAGAGAGAGAGAGATTGCTTATAGATTTTATATGGCTAGTAGTGAAATTTCAATCAAAAGTTTCCAGATTTCGGCTTCGACCTTCCACTCTTCTGCATTACATGTTTTCATGTATTCTATATTATTTGAACGAAATATATTAGACTATTCACGTTTATTAGAAGAAAGACGGAAACATGAGAGTTGGATTTCATGTCACCTCCACAGGCCCTGAAAAGATCAGATGGACATCTTCACAGTTGTATATACTCATGCAAAATGATACCGGTGGTTGGATGTGGTAAATGAAACAGTAAATGAGGAAAGGGAGAAAACACGAAGAAAGGAATATACTGAGACCGATGACGGCTGATCACTAAATGAGAGGTGATGGTTCATCCATTCAACATGGCACGGCATGTCTGTGCTCATCTTCTCCGAGCCTTCTGACAGATGATTGCTGCCTCTCATTTTATATTTTGCATTGGTCTGTCTCATATGCTTACTGTTCGATTCTGTGCCAAAAGGAAATTTAATTCCAAGGAATCACTTTATTACATGACTTTTGCACTTCATTCTCCTGCATACATACATTTATGTGGGCAATGAACTCTAACAACATTCTCCTGCTTGAAAGATCCGCTTTGTTACATCAAAATCATGTTTTGATCCGAGAAACATTCTTCCAATTTCTCCATTAAGTGCTGTCATATAAAAATCATGTCACATTAACAAATTCGATCTGAGATATTGTCACAGTATGTCTCAATTTGATGGAATGACTAACTCGTTAACTTCTTTAATTCTGAATAGACAAATCAGGAGCCTACCGAAACACTATCATATAAAAACCATATCATGTTAATGGTTGTTGTTATGCCAATTTTGATCTTAGTCCATTTTTAACGTAAAATTTAATTAATAATGTTACAATCTATCTTACTTAAAAGACTTGACTTGAGGTTCTCAGCAAAGTCCATAGTTAAATCTTAGCTTATTAAACCTTAGCTTAACACAAGTGAGACATAACTTTATGTTATAAAGTGTTTTTTTTTTATCTCACTCGAAGGTTATCTTTTTTAACAAGTCTTTACTATGTCCCATACTTTAGGTAGATTCTGATATTAATTATCATAATCCAACTTATGAGATAAGTAATTTGTTAACATAGTTTAGTCTGAATAATTAGCTTAAAATATTTAAATTAAAATTTATAATAATATATCCATGAAACTTTTGATATTGGATTAAATACCTTTGGATGTTAGATTAAATTAGATAATATGATTCTTATCCTATGACGAAGAAAGCATGGTATTGTTATCTTGGTGATGTTGATTGGAGAGTCAACACGACCTAGTTCGGTCCCAAAGACAGGTGGATCGAGCGAGCAACTGAGGTGGCAGGTGGACTCTTGAGGCGTTGCTAGTTAACAATGGTTGATTTGCGATCATCTTGAGGTGTAGCTTATTTGTTGGAGGAAGTTCGGGGTCATCCCGAGGGGCGTCTTGGTCTTGTCCAGAAGTGCTCAACATCATTCCGAGGTGCTCCTTAGATACACTTGGGTCCTACATAAGCGATCGATATTGGGGGGATGTCCCGACCTGATCCCTCCGACTCTTAATTCAATAGAATAAATGGAGGGAGTTTAATAAAGTTAAGAAGAGTTAAGATAGAGTCTTCTTGCTCTTGTTTAGCTTGGGGCTTAGTTTTATACCTAAGCGGTCGATGACGTGAGGCTAATGATATATTAGGGTATCCCTTATCCCGTTAGGAGATTATTGATGATGGTAGCTGACTAGTGCATCCTCTGAAGGATGATATCATAGTAGGATGCCCGTGATGATATGCTTTGCCCATGATCTTGGTTTGTCTGGCACAAATAAGGGAAGCTCTCTACATCGTTTATATGGAAGGTAGAGCTAAGAAAGTTAAACCGTATCGCCTTGTCTTAATGCGTTCATGCCTTTCCTTAACTACAGTTGAGGTGAACGGGTGAGTCGATGACATTATTATTTTTCATATCGTACGCAGATGTTAGAAATCGAAGTCTTGAAGGAACAAAATTCTACGATGAATTCAAACGAAAACAGTATCTAGACTGAATCACCCGAAAAAAGTAGAATCATTAGATTAGAAGGGAGAATCCAGGACGAAGAAGCCTACAGTGAAAAGACGTCACTGTCTCTACTTGAAACCCCGTTAGCCAATGGCCATCTCTGGTTTTGCAGTTCGAAAAGATGGCCCCATCTTCTCCTTGATTCTTGCCTTCTCCAGTCTTTTCTGTCACTGCCAACCTCCAATTTAATGCCCAAGCAGATACAGTAGTTTCCTCCTTATCATTGCTAAAGGTTTCTTTGCCATCTATCCTCTCTAACAGCTTCTCTTATGCCTACTAGAGCAACATAGCATAAGGCTCTGTGCTGCCATTGATCCCCTGGTGGTTTTGGTTCTTCGTCCAAGACCATTTCTGGATAACATGGGAGAAGACCTGACTGAAGTCTTCGGGCACGCGAAGTTGACGCAAGCGGAGTTGGTCGGAGCCACCTCGCCGGAGGATCTTTTCAGCATCTTGGAAACATTTGAGGATGCCATAAATGTGGAGCTACGTTCAGTAGGTTCTCAAGGGTTAGCTGGCCCTTTCGAGGCCGATGAGGATGATGAAGAGGCCGGCCAAGCTCGGAAGAAGCAGAAAGTGTCGGACGCTGCGGTTGCCCGAGATGGACAGCAGAAGACGTCTCACATCACGGTGGAGCGCAACCGGCGGAAGCAGATGAACGATCACTTGTCGGTGCTGCGCTCGTTGATGCCTTGCTTCTATGTCAAACGAGTAAAATGGATCTCATAGCTATTCTGTGTTTCTTCGGCTTTGATGCTCGTAGCTTTCATATCTATGTATTTTTTGAGCTCAGGGAGATCAAGCAAGCATCATAGGAGGGGTAGTGGAGTACATCAAGGAGCTGCAGCAAGTGTTGCAGTCCCTGGAGGCCAAGAAGCAAAGGAAAGCTTACGGTGAACTGCTAAGTCCAAGGCCAGCTTCCAGCCCGAGGTCTTCTTCAACCTTGAGCCCCAGACCACCACCTCTAAGCCCTAGAATGGCTCTTCCCATCAGTCCAAGAACTCCACAACCGAGAAGCCCTTACGGACCGGGGATGCAACGCAGCTACCTCTCCCCGACACTGGTCTCCTCCCATGAATCCTCCTCTCCTCTTGACAGCAGCAGCTCTGAGCTGGTAGCCAACTCCAAATCCCCGGTGGCCGATGTGGAGGTGAAGTTCTCAGGCCCAAACGTGATCCTTAGAACTGTGTCGCATCGCATCCCTGGGCAAGCTCTGAAGATAGTTGCAGCTCTCGAGGCCCTCGCGCTCGAGATACTCCATGTCAGAATCACCACCGCCGATGACACCATGCTCAACTCATTCACCATCAAGGTCCATCTCTCATGCAGTTCTTGGCAGCTGATGCATGTTCCCTCTTATCCACTAAGCCATGCTCTTCTTCTGGTATTCACACATCTATGAAGTTAGTTAGCTCTTTATGACCTAAGCATGGGTTTCAAGAAGCATACAGAGAGCCAGCTTTATGATGATGGTAAAAGAAGGAGATGCATGACTGCACATTACTTCTTTCATTTTCATTGCTTTTCTTACATCGATTCATGTATCACTGATGATTATTTCTCTCTGCAGATCGGAATAGAGTGCGAGCTCAGCGCCGAGGAACTCGCACAAAAAATTCAGCAAACATTCTGCTAAAGCTACAGCTGCTTCACAGCAAATCAACCATGTTTCCGACCTGGAAATAGTTGGCCACCACTCTCTCCTCTCTGAGGGCGAAAGATGTAGCAGCAAAGAGAATGGGGAAGGCGCCTAAATCAAGTCCAAGTCTGGTTAGCAAAGGACCAGCCGTAGTTTTTTACTCTTGTAGTCTGAAGATTCTCCATTTCACTCTGAACTTTTGAGTGCGATTCGATCCATTTCCTTAGTTCCATGCTGTTGATTGCTTGTTCCACATGACCCGAATGTATTGGCTTCCCCACACACACACGCATCGGCAGCAGCAAAGAATCTGTAGATTGCAACCATTCAAGTTCTGCTACATGGATCCTTCTTATCACTGATCTCTGTGAGGATAATGAGTAACTGAGATGTAGTCTTTAAAGATCTCTTGATTTAAATTATTATTTTATATCCATTCAAGTTATTTATATATATATACATATATTAAAGTTCAATATAGTCTATTTTATACTTTCTTAATTTCTTATTCTTCTATTTGATTTTATCTTTAGCTCTAATAATAATAATATATTATTATTATTATTTGAAAAAAAATTATACTTATATATAATCTGCCCTTTTCTTCATCGTCCTGACACCGAAATCCACTTGTTTTGTGCACTCTTGTGAGGACATAAAGACTTGTGGTCTGCCTGCAGTTTCCTGTTCATGCCATCGGAACGACAAGATGAAATCTAACAAATTGAAATTACATGAGAGACCACTGCGATAACTTGAGACACACAGGATTTCAACGTGCAACAGTGGCTGGCACGAAATGACAAGTCTGATATGAGAACGCTGCCTTGTCTTGCCGGTACATGTACTCTGTTCCTTCTGGTATGGATGATTCAGTCAATTAAGAAGAACATGAAATCGTAGTACGATAGATTCCATACGTTTTGATGTCAAAGAACACATAAATATCCATATTTTGGGCTCCATCTCTAATGTATTCTTAAGCTACGTGTTATGTTATGGATGGCACGAATCGCGAGTAACAACGCCCCCATGCAGGACGCCACGTACTGATCCGCCCCCCGCACTTCTCTCGTTTCCTCCCTTCCATCACTCTTCCGACCCCCCGCCTCAGATCGAGACCTGCAGCTGGTTCTTGGATCCCAAGCGATCCCGAATCCCTCCTACGTGAAGCATCCGTCCACGCCATGGTGAAGCTCGCGTCGGCTCGCGAGAGCCGCACCTACGGCCCCGGCTCCCGCCTCGCCCGCACCCGGTGGGAGTACATCAACGCCGGCCTCTACCTCTTCGCCACAGCCATCCTCGTCGGCGGCTTCGCCACCCAGATCTCCTCTGTATCATCAGCCGGCGCAAAGTCCGGCCTCGTGGCCGTCCTCGTCGCCCTCGCGCTCCTCCTCGCGGTGAACGCCCACGACCTGGTGGCGCATCTGGCCGCCGTCGACTACTGCCTCTCGCTGGTGGAGTTCGACGTGCAGCTGGCGCTCGTGGAGTTTGCCGTGCCGTTGATGAACACTGTGGGCGTCATCTTGACCTTCGTCGGCAACCTGTTCTTCTTGATCCCGGTGATTCTAATGACTCGTATCTTTCAGCATGTTATCAATGAAAAGATTGCACTCACATAACGAGGTAATATCTTGCAGATGGAGAAAGGATACAGATACAGGCTAGAAAAGCATGCTCTTAACACACTCATCGCTGGGCCAATCTTTTGGGTCATTGGCTCCATCCACAACGTGTGTCAGATCTACGAGAGAGCAGACGGCCATGTTCAGCTCCTCCAGAAGAGTGTGCAGGTTCCTCTCATAATGGGAAGCTTGCTCTTCTTGGTCGCTGGGATCGTCAACAAGCATGATGATACACTTCACATGCTGCTGGTGAGTTGTTAGTTTGCAGCAGTCTCTGATTCATGCAAGGAACACATTAGCCTGTTGACGAACCACAACGCAGGGGAGGAGCTGGATTTGGTTGTGCCTGTCAGGGAGTTCACTGTTCCTCGTTGGGGGGCTGATGAACACGGTAAGAGTGTTCAAGATGCAACGAACGGAAGGGTTGAGGCTGGAGAAGCTTCGAGGTAGCGCACACGAGAGACTAGCTAAAGTCAGGGAGGAGCTTCCGCTGATACTAGAAAGCAACAAGAAGAGCCGGAAGCAACAGGAGGAAGGGAGGCCAGTATCGGCTCCTACACCAGTTCCTACGCCTTACAAGGATGCCCTACTTGGAAGCCTAACTCGAAGCATCGTTTGAAGGAGTCGATGAGGTATGATATCAGTCCCCTGCGGATTGTGATTGTGCAGTTAAATTCTTCTTCTCTCCGTCTCTCTTCTGTTCTCCATTCATTCATTGGACATGTTGCTGGAATAACTGAAGCTTCTCACAGAATAAATCTTCTCGTGTGCACTCTTCGGTGCAAGAATTATTGTTCTATTCAATACAGCAGTCTTCTATCAACTTGTATTACCACCACAACTTCACTAGGCTTTGTGCAGTAATTTTGGGAAGTGTAGGTAATCATAAAACCAAAAATGCTGAATGCATTCAGCCCAAAAAGATCATGTCTTGGTGCAAGTAAAGCGTAGGATATCTGCCTCAGCTTCACCCCAACGAATCATCAGGTAAGAAAATAACATCATCTCCTTTGGGAGGCTGCTGTGTGTTGTTGTACAGGTGAAACTGATTGGGCCATCATCCCTGCAAGGGCTCATGTGATTTGTATTTGACATGGTGACAATAGACCGAGCCCAAAAAGGATACAAATCACTCGTATATACTTGTGTTGGTAAACTCTTGAAGCACACTACACATAAAATGGATACATAGCCTTCACACCAATTCTCATCATTTTCTCCTCAAGTTCCATATGCACTTGGTCGTTCTGTTTCTCGGTGGCAGAATTCTTGTTCTTGATCGAAAAGCTTCATGCAAACATGATCGTCAAGTACGCTGCATGAATTTGGGGCTAAAAGTAGTAGCAGAGTTGATAATTCTCCTGATCATCAACCACAAGCATGAGTGTGATTATTAGCTTAATGCTAAATTTTGAACAAGGTTTAATGTAAATTGAGTTCGAGACAGAAGAATGTATTAAGTTCAATCACATTGGCTATAGAATTGGTTTCATACAGACCTTAACAAGCATTCGGATATGGATTTACTGGTACTCTTCAAGCTGTGTCAAACAGTATATAGAGCAACTAGCAGACTCTCAAATCTTGAAATCAGAGTAGCAAAGTCATTGGGAGCCAGAGCATCAAGTGTATGGAGTTGGTTCATCTCACAGATGCAGATGCAGATGCAAGACAACTTGTGCATGTTGCTCTTCATCAGGCAAAGGCTGAGGATGTCCAACTATCCACACCACACTCTTAGATTCACAAGGACAATGATTTGTTCTAGCAGTGTTAGGCAGTGGAGCACTCATATTTCTTGCTTGTGGTTGAAACAATGATATATCCTATGATTGCTACCTTGGATCTTTCCCTCCTCTTGTGGGCATGGTCAAGTTTGTTGACCTGAGGCTGCATGGACATGTGTGTGCTGTTGACTCCATCTGCAAGGCCCATGTGCTTGCACACCATGGCACTTTCCCCATCTTAATCTACCCCCTACATCTAAAGATTACTCTGTGACAACAACTCTGTTTCATTAAGTATCTCACTACAACTTAAAGCACAGACATACTTGTGCCAGAGTTCAAGCTCATCATGTTCTGAAAGAGCTGCTTAGTTTGACTCATCTCATGCATCAGTGAGAAAGGCAAACACTGATATGTTTGAAGAATTCCTCAGCAAAATGAGATGAAACATGGAGTTCAATCAATATTATTGCCTGCTAGTCATCTCTCCTGGTTAGTGGTGTGTGGACTCAGGAACTTGCCTGATGAGGTGGTCATTAGGTTAAGAATCACAAGTTAAAGATAGAGGTCAGTGGACTTTGAGGTGTTGATTGGTCAATATGCTAGCTTTGGAATTTGGACTGCAAGAACACCATCCATTCCCTTAGCTTTGACTTGCTTGCCAAATCTCCCTTTGTAGACCAAGATCTATTGACACAGTGAGGAAAGCATGGTGCTCAGTGGAGTTTGGTGAATAGACTTTTACTGCAGGCTGCAGAAAACCTTCAGCTTGCTGATTAAGCTGTCGACTATATGAATCTGCTTTCAGCAAGAAGCCATTCGATGTAGCATCTAAAATCATTTGAAACAATGAACAGTCCAAGTGATTGCAGATCTTCTCAGAAAGATAACTGAGCATGATTCCACCACCTCAGAAGAAGGGTTCACAAGCAGCCTGTAGTTTTCTGACAAACGAAGCCGGGGAGATCTCATAATGCTGATCAGAGGATTCTGATACTTGCATGTAGTCACGTGATTCATGAGTTACTTCCACACCCCCCGCCCTCCTCCATCCATCATTGGCGAGTACGTGGTCGAAGCTTGGAAGGAGCCATGCAGCAATTTTGGACCCATTAGAAACGCTGCACCAGAGAAGTCCTCCGAGTACAAGAACGGCACACCGTATCTGTGTTAGATCACGCGAGCCAATCACAGGGAGCCGCGTAAGGGATTTAGGCAGTCCAAATGAACGTTATGTCAAATTTGTCAGCTTCCCCATTCGAATTTTCAACCCCAAAATGGACAAAACTGCGCACACCCAATTTGGCATTTGTCATCAGGTTAAAGAATATCCGAATATGGTTTAAGGAAGTCGAGTATAGGTTCCCAAATCCGTTAAAACCGGATTAAATGCTCCCTCCTAATGGATCGACTATAAGAATAGAATAAGCACGAGATTCGACTTATAAGGACACCGACCAAGTGAATCTCCAAAATCAATCTCCTTACACCTATCTAAACTAGAGGATATAGTAAATTTATTTCCTTCAATTTTTGTTTGTTCAATCTTAGGACTTGATGAAAGCATTAACCCCATAGAATAAATTATCTAAGTTCTTTGATATTTTATTTGTATAGACATTTTAACTGACTAGTTTATAGGAAAATATAAAAGAATAATACTTTAGTTTTCTTTGTCTGTAATCAATATCGGAAGAAGCTTACAATAATCTTGTTGATCGTTTCAATAAAGACAAGAATAAACCTTGAGTCGACTACATGATGAGATTCAACAATAATAAAATATGATAGATGACCAACCCATACTTCTCTCGATGATTAACTTCCTTAATGACCTTAAGTCACATAAAAGCTTTCAATAAATTTCTCCGACCTATTTTAGAAAGCAAAATAGCATAAAAACCTCATTTCAACGAAAAAGAAAGAAATCATGATATTTGATGCCGAAAAAATATCATCTTTGCACATGGTATATCCAACAATACAAAAAAAAAATCAGAAAGTACATAATGTAACTGAGAAACATCATAAGTGTCTTACATAACATCAATATATTCATTTTATGCGTGATACATTTGTCTAAAAAAAAAACATATGAAACATTCGTAGCCAAAGTATCATCCCTTTACACATAATGCATTCATATAGGACAAATGAAACATCTCCCATGTGTGAAAAGAAACATTTAAAGTGTTGATATGTCCTACCAAATGAATACATCTTTTATATGTGATGTGCACGTCTTAATTGTCTTATGAGAAAGACAATAATTATTGAGCTCGAATAAACTCACTCTCACTTCAAAATATAATGAGAGAAAGAAATGAATAAATATTTTTCTCATTATGATTGAACAAATCTTATATACAACAATCCTGGTATATGATTGAACAACTCACTGAACTAAATCTCAATACTCAAAATTCCTATGGGCTTTTTTCGCCAGCAACAAATCAAATCCAATCCAATCCCATATCTCTTTGATGGTGTCAACTATCCTGCACCACAAGACAACATACATACACTAAATATTACTACATTACCTCATGAAGTGCCATGATTACTAAATTTCTCCCTGCAAAAAATGATCAATAATGGAGTTTATGCAGCTTTTAATTAATTAGTCGTCGGCAGTACAATAGGAAATAATATTATAGAAGAGTGCAGGTCAGTGGAGGAAGAAGACTTGTTCAAGTTTGTGAATAGTCAGTCTTGCTGCTCCATGTCAGTATAAATAGACCATGCAAGGATACCAGCACCCTCACTTCATGTGTTGGGTGACCTCCACAAGAAAGGTACCAGGGAAGCAGAGAGTATCTGGTGGCAATGGGAGATCAGAACACTGAGCTCTACTTTGTCTTCATGAACTTTGATCCAGAGTACGAGAGTCTGCGTGCAGATCGGTGTGTCTTGTTGCATCTTCCCAACCCCTCATTTCTTTTCAGCAGTGGCATTTGCCTTCCTTCTTCCTTCCTCCCTCCTCTGTTCTCTCAAGGTCTCTCTGTGGGGATGGCTCAGGTCAAAGGAAGGCGTGGAGGAGCTCGACACTTACCTGAGTCACAAGCATGACCAGCTACTGGCAAAGCTTCTCCCACCAAACTCCTACAGGAAGAAGTCCTCTCTGGCAATTGTTGATGGCTTCTCAGTGGAGATAACCAAAAAGCAGGTATTCCTTCTTGGATTTAAGATGTTTTGTGTCACCCCTGATGGAAATGCCATGTTGTCTTTTGATGTCCTCCTTCCTTCAGGCAGCCATTCTCAGATCTGCAAAGGAGGTGAGAGTGGTTGAGAAGAACCAAGAGCTTGCTTGACTGCAGGAGATGCGTCTTCAAGCTTGGAATGAATAATACAGTTGACTGTACCAAATACTAGTGTAGTAAACTCAGTCCAGAGCTGCCAGGAAATTTCATGAGACTCTGTTTTTGAAGTCAGGCTCTATGTGGTTTTCATAGTTTGACTTTGGAAAGCTTTTATTTTGTATGGAAGCCCAAAAAGTCTAACATGATTTAAATAAAAAAAAAACTCATCTTGTGGCTAATGTTTTTGAGACTCAGATCAGATTATCTTTTGGAGCAAAGCTATTGGGAATATGAGAGATGCTTTGACCACTAGCAGTTTTCTAATAACAAAAACTGCACATTACCTAAACAGCAATACTGTAATACCTACAGTTGACTCAAGGCAGTTTACTAGTAATATCTGTCCTTTGTACAATCCTCAGGGAACAAGGGAAGTCATGTACTCAGCCCTTAAACTCAGTGACCATTAATAAGCAAATGTCAGAAGCTGGTGTCCAGTTTACTTGCACTGAACTGGTCATCAAATAGCTTATTCCATCACTTGAGAGAGTAGATAACTTGCCCATCACTCGAGTGTTTGAATAGGTGATATATGAATTGCACAAGAAGGTGTACAACTACAGATGATGAAGCATTTGTAGTGGTGCATTAGTCTCAGAAACAGCAGCAAATGCTCAGTGGTCAGATATCCAGATAAAAGTATCTGCAGTGCACACACATAAGATGATCCTTATGGTTGACCAATATGCATCATGCTGTAGTTGCTAATTGTAAACCAACAATGCTGGCAATGCAAAGATGCCATGAGTACACTTTCCATAAGTTCAAGCAGAGTTAGCAAGATAAGCAAGTTTAATAATCTCATCCCTGGATGTGATTCTCTGGAATAAACCAAACCGAAACAGTAGAAGTGCAAACAGCCTTGCCAGTTTCATCATTCATCCACTTGCAACCCAGAGAGAAGAAAGTCAACCACCAGCAATGAGCTGATGACACTGGACTAAGTATTGGGTAGTTCTACTAATAAATAACTTGGGAAGATCAGATACTTTTATTGTTTGCCCAGTTTGTCCATGCATAGTAGTAAACAGTAGTCACCAATAAGCTGGGGTCTCCTGGTGTTTGAGAGTCCCCACTGCCCTGAAGGGAGACACAAGTTAAGAGTCCCTTGTAGACTGTGAAAGACAATGGAGATACTATTGATCTGGATGACATGATCTTACATGTAAGATTCCAGGTTTTTGTTCTAGCACATTCTTCAGTACAAGTTTTTCACCAATGAAAATATGTTGGTTCTCTGACTACAGTTGATAACAGTAACTTTCTCATATAAGATGATGAAAGAAATATGTGGCAAAATAAAGTGAAAAAAAGACTAGTGGTTAACTGGTTATTGCCAAGACAGTGGGAAGCAAACCCTGCTACATTGGTATCACAATCATTATGAATATAGCTACATGAACCAGCAGTCTAGAAACAGGAATGGATCTGTATCAGAGACCACTAGGAGCTAAGAGTTGAATAAGCGTGTGGGGCTATACAAATATGTATATCTCTGGACGTGTTAGATGAAACATAGTCATATCTGTAGCATGCACATAGGATGTGTCAAAATTTTACTGGGCATGAAAGTTGAAATCATGATACTACATTGAAAATTTTCTTCTAAAGAAAATTCATTGGGTTTGTTAAGAAAATACAAACACCAAGGATAAGAAGACACAAGAAAATGAAACAAACAACTGGAATGAAGTTAGTAGCATCTCTTTGTTTTCATCATATAGGTGACTAATAGATTTTTGAATACTTAATTTCAAGTAACTAGAGACAAGCTTTTATCATCTACCAAAATCTCTAGAGATGTTATTTCCTTGTGCTTTTATAAGTTAGATTTGATTTGACTTAGATTAGTTCAAGTACTTATATTCAAGCTTTATTATCTAAAAGACTGTAGAGATGCCTTGTCCTTGTGCTTCTACAAGTTTGATTGTGTTAAGTCTCTCTAATGAGAACCAGGTAGTTTTGGTGGTTCCGAGTCAAAATTAAATTTACACTTGAATTGCAGCTTATTTAGAGAAGCAAATTAGTTCAGACAGATATGAAGTGATCAAATATATGGTTGTATGCAGAAGAACATGGCAAGAACCAATCCTATTATTTCACAATACCACTTAGGTGAACAAAGAACTGCAAGACAATCAGAAATAAGTTCAAAACTAAAGACTAATATTGCTATACTTGTTGAGGATCAATATATATCAAAATAATAAGACTATGCCAGCGAGAAAATGTGAAAATACTCATGAGTTTGCAATTTACATCATGTAAGTTATTATTAGTGCAAGAGAAAACAAGAGGAGCTATTTAGCAATGAGTTATGTTGAGGAGGATAAACAACCACACCTTTGATATTATCTCATGTAACTACAAGTCTCAATTCTGCATATTGTCAAAGACTAAAATAAAACATTGATCATGATTGTGCTACATTTATAAACCTAAAGCTAATGAATTACACAAGTAGCATTTGCATATATTTGCATTGTACAAACAGACGTGCTTCAAATGCACATGCACACTAGAATGTACTGGCACAAATACATCAAAAGCTTTTACTTTATTATTGTGCAGAGAGTGTCACCACAATCTCCAGTAGCAAATTCTACTGTCTGGAATGTGGAAATGCAGTCAATGTAGCAACCACTATGGTGGACACATTACTAATCTCAACATGCAGCTCCGTCATGATAAAGCCATTGTCAGAAGCTATACTCTGCAAGGTCAAAGTTAGAACCTAGTGCCCTGCACGAAAGCAGTGTGGGTTTGCTCATAAAGAAATATTGTCTAGCACAACTGGGTGGAAGGATAGTTTTCAGACAAATAAATAGTCACCACATGAATGCACAGAAGATGTTCGACAAAAACAAAGCAAATGCAATTTACAAGTATTATGGCAAGTACATAAATATCCTTTTTACCTAGATTCCCAAATATGTAAAACAAGCAGAACGAAACATTTACAAAAACAGATGTGATCAAAAAGTTCAATATGATGTATGAAACCTTCATGGCATCATAAGATAAAGGTGAATTGCTACAACAGACATACAAGTTCTGCTTCCTTAGTACCACAATCATCACTGATGAGACATACCATCATTATACATCTATCAGCATGGAAAAATTACACAAGAATACTGAAACAAACTAAAAGAAACTCACATCCGACAGTAACGACAACAACAAAAGGAAAAGAAGATTGGAAAGTAATTCATAAAAAAATCTAGAAACTAATTCTCAGATTTTTGAGAACCTTCTGCCTCCCATGTATGTGAGGTGACCCTCATAACTCATTTTCCCCAAAATGCATACAAGAAAAGAAAACGCAAACTAATAAAGCCTAAATAGATACATGAATGCAACAAAAATTTTAACAAACAATGTGAATGTAAAAAAGCACTGATACCAAAGTTTAGATCAAATAATCAGAGTTTCAAAGTTCACTAGACCAAGCCACTATATCCTTGATAGCACCATGAAGTTTATTACCAGCGTCATCAGCTTTGAAGTCTTAGGTAGCACAACTTCATATTTTCTAACTTCATATTTTGAATTAATTTCTCCTCAAAACTGTAGCTTAAGATCCACATTGCGTCAGCATTTCTCATGATGAAACCTTTTCTAATTTGTTTTGGTTGTTTCTTGTGTTCTGAGAATGGCAAGTTGAACAAACTGACAAACATATTTGAGAATAAGAGGAATTACCAGTAGATGCACAACAGCAGTTAGAAAAAAATTCGTGAAGCACCAAAATTATTCCTCAATCTCAACTCTATGCAAAACACCTGCGAGACAATAGAATAAATTATTAAATTTGCCTGCGTATGTCGTAGCATCCGGACATAACCCCTTGTCAGACATATCGACAAAAACCATACTTTGCATCTTCAATCTTTCTTTTACTGGTAAAACCAGCTTATGATACCACATTTCCCCTGTTTTCCAACTTGAACCCTCGAAGCTTGCACCTTTCCTTCTTTATCAAGCCCATCGAAACCATAATTACAAGCGATCGCACTCGGAACCAACCTAATTCGCAAACGAGTCACGTTAAAAGAACCGTCTTCCGCATCGTCTGCAATTGCGTATGCCCGCCGATTCGGCCTGCTCTTCCGCGTCTCACGTAGACCGTTGAATGCATCAAAGATCCGTCCTTTCCTTCTGAAGAATTGGATTAATACATTGCAAGGGATCACGTGGAGTTCAATAACCATATATCGTATGATCGAACACTTGGTGTGCGACGTCCAAGCGGCCCGACTTGCAGTGGCAATTCATCAGAATTCTGAGGGTCACCGAATGGAGTAGCGAAAGGATGCGGCGGCAAAGAATCATCGGATTTGACAGGGTAGAGAGAGAGGAGGAGACCGAAGAAACGGGTCCGTGGGAAAGTTGAGGTTTCCGCGAAGGAATCAGCGAGGAGGGCATTGGCACCATCGACCATGTCGGAGCCGAAGAGTGACTCGATTAGGGATTAGGCGAAAGCGAGGGCAGAGAATCGAGTGAAGGGTGAGCGGGCGGAAGTCGAGTTAGGGACCTGCATTGGGCTAAAGGGAAAGCCCATCGGACCTTTGTCGTATAGGATCAACGGAAAGCGGAGGTGCCAGAAATTTTATGTGAAAATAGAAAATGTATGAAAAAGAAATATTTAGGGAGAAGCCATAATTTTCCTATCTTATATCATCCAAATCCAAATCCAAATCCTCCAAAGTACCAAGTTATTCAATCATAACTAATATAAATCACAATTGTTAACCCACATATAATATAATTATTTTATTTATATCTTTTCCCTCTTTTTATCCATTTCCTGTTAATAGTTTTCTATCTCCTAGAATCCTACCCGTGACCGACCTCTTCCTCTCCATCTCCTCTTCCGACCTTCTTGTCTTCTCGATCTTTCCCACATGTTGTCCTTTAGGGACGAAGTCCACGAACAGCTGCAGTGGTCAATTTGGAGATACAATTGACTGAGGCTCCTTCGTTGTTAAGCAATGCAACATGATTGAAGGAACGAAGATTATATTGGTGTGTTGTTGCAATCAATGACAGCAGCGTGTGCGTAATCGTTTGACTAAATCGTCCGCGTGTTGTGCAGTCCAGAGAAAGTGAAGCAGGTCGTAATTAAACTAATTGATTCAGACGACTTTCCACGTTTAACCTGCACCGAATACACGTAAATTCTAAGACTATAATAGTTGTGTGGTGCCAGGCTGTAAAATTTAAAATAGGAAACAAGCAATGTATTTATATGCTCTCTGATATATTATATTCTTTTTGCTAGTTTAATTCAGTTGATGTCGGGAAAAAGATATCTAAATACTTAATCCTCGAGTTTTCATATTTTATATATTTTTTTTGAAAAAAATTTCTCTTTTTTTCAAACAGTATCTCTAATTTTAAAAAACCTAAAATATCCCTAAAAAAATTGTATCAAACATTTTTGTATATTTTTAATCAGTTTTTAACTATTAGAATATTTTCATTTGACTTCTTTACCATGTTTTCCAATGACGTTATAGTGATTTATTAAGATATTAAAAATATTATAAGTGATATCATATTGTTGATTGTTATTGCTCATAGATTATTATAATATTATATTTTTATATTTATAATTAATTTGATTAAGGTTAAACGTTCATGTAGATTATTTATAATATTTTTGAATTGATCTTACAATACTTTTACTGTGTAAGTCTTATAATGTTTTTATTTTGATGATCAAAATATTATAACAGGTTAAAACACTAGAAAATTTTTGAAAGATAGTTAATATATTTTTTAATTAAAGATACTATTTAAGAAAATTAATTGTTTAATTTAAGATACTATTTAAGATGCTTTATTTTATAAAAAGCAAAAGCATTTTCTGGGAACTATAACTATTTATATGATAATTATCATCTATAAATCAAACTTAAAGAATATTTAAGAAAAACAAATTAAAAGTATTAAAAATGAGTGGTTTTATTCTTACCATCGAGGTTGACCGGTCACTCCGTTGCCTTCATCTATAAATAACGGATGCAGAGCGTCCCACAAACGCACATTTCTTAGAATTGACCGCCGTTACCCGAATCCATGGTTTCCGTCAAGATCTCCGTCATCCTCTCCGTCGTCTTCTCCCTCCTCTTCCTTCTCTCCCACGCCACCCGCGTCCCCCTCGCCCCCGACGCGACCACGGCCGTCGACTTCCGTGAGGTGCCGGAGGACTTCGATCCGACGACCGCCGAACTGGTCCCGGCCGAGGATGCGGACCTGACAACCCTAACCGCCTCGATCGAGAAGATAACGTCGGAGCATCCCATCCCCGAATTCGTCGAGGGATTCGACCACGTTGACCTCTCTCTTCGCCGCCCCGTGCACCACCACTTCCGCCGCCACCGCTGCCACCACCACCACCACGACCGCCACGGCCACCGGTTCCACGGCGTCAGGATCGTCCCCTACGGAAACGACATGATCCCGCTCCCCAAGGGCGGCGAAGTGGACGCCGGATCTGAGGCCGAGGGCAGGGAGGGCCGGATGGAGTGGCCTTTGGCGACGGAGTGGGAAGGGGAGAGGAGGAGGACGAGAAAGAACAAGGAGCACAAGAAGAAGAGGGCCGACGAGGAGGACTCGGATTCGGACTCCGATGATGAGGAGGAGATGGAGATGGGCAAGAAGGAGCTCAAATTTGGGAGGAGGATGGGGAGGAAGGAGCAGCGTGGATGGTTGAATTGGTTCAGGGCCATGTGGGACTAATTACGAAGTGAGCAGTGATCTGCTGCTACTTTTGCTGCTATGACTCGTATTTATGAAGAACATTGGGTATGCTTGTATTATTTGTGCTCTTCTGCTTACTAAGCTTCTATGATTCCATACTGTGGAATGTATAGTTGCAGCTATGTAGTTTGTGTTTGAACATGTTTGCTATGTCATATGGTATGACAATTAGTGATCTTATTCTGCCTGTGGATTCCATGTTTTTGAATGTTCCATTCTTATTGCATGAACATCATCCATCTACTAGTTTGGCTTATAGATTGAAATTTGTAGACAATTTCTTGAGTTCTTATGCAGAAAGCTAAGGAGAACTGTTTACCAGTGTATTATTTATTCATTATAATGTGCATGAGAGAGAAAACGTCAGTAAGAAATAGGCTGTACAGGAAGGTCAGAACAGTGTGACATCTATCTGGAGTTTACATCATATTTGAATTTGAAATTTAATCAGATAAGATCAGAAAACAACCAAGTTTTTTCTTCAAGTACAACATAGAGTTAAGATCAGAAAGCAGCTGAAGACAATGAAAACCAAAGGCTTCAAGAATAGTGTTAAGAGAGAGAGAGAGAGAGAGAGAGAGAGAGAGAGAGATGGAGCCAAGACAGTCATGTACTTCATTACCACATTGCTGCAAGAAGACTCTGCAAAGTCTCTCCCATTTCCTTCAACACTTCTCCTACACATTACAAGTAATGCAGCTTAACATCACTCATTTATGTGGCATATTTACTACTTGTTGAAAACATATATTTTTAAAAGATGTATTAATTAGGAAAACTGAGGCCTAAATGACTTCAAATATAGGAAATGGATTAAATATTTGTCTATAAGTAACTATAAGTACAAAAATTCAGTCTATAATTTCGCCTAAAAATTCTGGGTCATCTTATTTGCATGAATTAATAGGGAAAAATGTAATCTAATTGGTAATTCTTTTATTTTGCGGGATAGATATTATGGTCTCCTACAATTAATCTATTGAAAGAATTCGTATTCTAACATCGAAATAGCGTTAGACGTTAGAGGCGACATCACCCCTGACAAGTTCCAGGGGTTGTTCGGTCCTGCTGCGTAGCCACATCCGTGTGAGGGAATCCACGGTGTGTGATGGTGGACACCGAGTGCGGAATTCCCCATAAAAGATATCTATGGGACCTTTATGGCTCCAGGGTATTAACCGGGGCATCACAAATATAGTGATCGGACACGAATGCCCTCATTATTTTCCCTTTATTACATAGTTTTTGGAGGATATATATATATATGTCATCCTGATTTCCATACTCGGAAGCACCCAAGTCATCGAGCCGGCCCGACATGTAACTTGAGAGGATAAGTCTCAGAATAGTTTAGACCAAGGCCGACTCGGTCAACATGTGAGAGTGATCACGACGGCAAATACAAATCACGGAACGACCTTGAACGCCGACAGAGTGCGAGGGCGGAGGCAGCCAGACGTGGGTGACTCCAGCGTTGGCTATATTAGAGACTTTTGTCTTTCAAGAAGTTATACCAGTCGCCTTGCTGCCTCCACGATGCCCAGTTGAAGCCCTGCAACGTATTCGTTTCTCTTAGTGTAAACGCGATGAAGGACCTGGAAGAGTATCTGGGACTGAGCCAAGTTTGGAACGACAAGAAACAGAAGCAGAAACACCCAAGGACCAAGTGATTTCACTTTCAGAACTGAAAAAAAAAGAGGATGCAAACGAATTATAAACAGATATCTACATGAAAAGAAACAAAATAACAAGTCACCATACACCACAAAAACATATCAAACCCTAGACATCTCGAACAGCTCAAGCACACGCAATGCATCTCTCAAACGAGAAACAGCCTCGTATGATCTTTGATTGTTTCCACAAACAAGCTAAATATTTCACAGAAAACCTAATTTAGGATAATGACACAAGTATGAAGACCAACTAATTGTTAAAAGTTGTGTTTAGATCCCCAAACAAGCTAAATATTTCACAGAAACCCTATTCACTGCCTCAGCCCCCCTAAAACGTTTAAAGTTGTGTTTAGATCCGACCCGACTTGCTAGCGGGTTTGTACACTCGACCCATAATTCCGCCAGTCAAATTAAACGGGTCAGATCATTTCATTCAATGGTTACGGATCGAGATCGACAGGCCCAGCAGACATGAGCTGATCCGCTCTTCTGTTTGGATCTAGCTAAATGCACAATTAAAAGAATCGCTCTTAACTACATCTCTTTTAAGCTTCTCCTCCTCTTTCTCGTTCTAGTCAACAACCACACCACCGACGTTCCACTTCCATACATTTGATGGGAACATCGAGTTCCTCCTCCTCGTTCGACTCAGTTCTTCAATGATTGCCTCCAAAACCAGCTTGGTTTCATGGGTCAACGGGCTGGGTGGCGCCCGTTCCCTCCACTTTGATGTGATTATTTTGTGCTCCTCTCAGATGTTGCTACATGCACATTTCTCCCGTCCCTTTCCATGGTTTCATGACAAAATAATATGTGCAGTCAAGCATATCTTTGCTGACAACTCCTTTTCATCTTGTGATTTGTCCGCCCCAACCTATTGATTCTGAGATGAGTACTTTCTTTAGAGAAATAGAGAAGCTTGACTGGGAAATTAGGTCTGAGACAAATTAAGTTGTGTATATACGATGAAGCATGATTTGTAAGAGAGAGGTATAGATAAGATTCATAATGTTTGAATGTTGGTGCAGTCAATAATGGAGAAATCGAATTAGTAAGCATATTGCATGGTGTCAATCAACCTTATGCATGCATGCATGGTTGAGTAGTACGTACTTACAGAAAGCTTCCCTTTTGATTCGTTAATGAAGATTAGTGTTAGCTTATTCCAACAATACACTACCATCTCCTCTTAAAATAATTTCGAATAAATGTAAATTCTTCGCAATAATCAGAGTATTTCCTTTTTTTTGGT